GGCTGCCTCCAGAAGTCCCTGTGAAGGACGCTGCTGTCTTCTGACTGCAGGTGCCCCCCAGGGCATTGACCCAGCCAAGCCTTCCAATTGCTGTTCATCTGGAACTGTGCGCCTCTGCTGTTGCATGGCCACGACAAGGTTTGTTTACAAGGAAGCATCTAAAAACCTTGTTTCCCAGCCACAAACAGCCCCTGCAATGTGCTGCTTGGGCACTTTGAAGGGACTGTCTGTGGCTGCCAAACTGGGGATCAGAAAAGGCAGCTCTCAAGTAGCTGTTTGCAATGTTAAAGAGAAAAGCTGCAGTGAGCCAAAAATGGTTTTCAATTGCTGTGAGTAGGAGTGGACCAGCCAGGCTTGGCATAGGGACCCCCATGAGACCCATGGTTGGACCAAAGGGGAAGGAGCAGGAGGGAAGGGCAAAGGAACCCAGTCAGGTGATGGGCACACCGTGGCTTGTTCAGTGTATTGCCAGGGTGGGTTGGCACAAGCACACCCAACAACTGACTCAGGCCTGATTACAATCGGAGCCAATTGCAGTTGCTCCGTATAAACGAAGAGTTGTCATTCCACAAATGCAACCTTCCATGCAGCATAGACTTCTGCTGCAGACAGAGATTTCTTTTTGCTGATTTAATTATTTAGAAAACCGTTTCTGTTTCTTAATCCTGAGTATCAGCAAAAATGGCAGGACGTGCATTCTGATATACAATGACAAGAGTCGCCGTTTGAATGAATTTCATCTGAACCAAAACCATTCTGTAGGTGCAGATGTGTGCTGTGTGTGTTGATGATGACTGGCCCAAGACAGTTTTCTGCCTGAGGTGGAAGAACAAGATGGTACTCCCTCCAGTCCTTTGTACAAGAGCAGACTGGATCTGCAGAGAAATCAGTCTTCAGGATTGATGGTGGGACCTGAAGGTTAACTTGGGGGTGTAGCAGCACGCTGCTCTTTTCTCCAGGCTTGTTTCTGCACTCTGCCTAATGTAAGGCTGGCCTAAACAAGCAGCTGCACCTTTCCCAGAAGCCATGCTTTCCACAGTGGAGAGACAAACACACGAGACAAAGCTCTACCGGCCTAACCTTGCCACCAAAGTCTGCATTAACAATGTGTAGAGGCAAGACCAGTTAGACAAATACATATTTTTTTCTCCAGTTGTAACCCTTTTCAGCATTAGTATAGGGCTACAGTGGGGAAGGTGAGAGAAACAAGCATTACAGAGCTTTCTGGTTGGAACTGGACGCTCTCCGCAGCATCCCCTTGCCCAGAGAAGAGATGGATACATGGGAAATAGACTTCTGTTGTGCCTCTGTAAAGCCAAAAGGAATAGCACGAGGTTTCAGTAAGGATAATAATGGGGCAGCATCAGGGGTACAGAACCAAGTGTGACCACCAGGACATGGCTGCACTGCAGATCCTTTCAGCTCTAGTTGGAACAGCCAATGGCAGGGGATGATAGAAAGTTACAGTCGAACAAGCTCTGGAGGGACACATTTTCCCCATCCCTGTTCTAGGCCAAAAAGAGGAGGCCATGACCCACAAGGAAATGCACTGAGCAAAGCATGGATGGCCAGGTGGGATGGTCAGGGGCAGATATCAAGGAACGCATGCCAAAGGTTGACAGCTCACTTTGGTCTTCTCTAGAATTAAAGTTAGCTCATTAGAGTCAAGCAACGATGGAGATCCTTAAAACTCCACAATTCTGTACATGAAGGTTGTGTATTCTTTAAGGGTAACATGCATCACAGATCTGTGTAATGTGTGGATCAAACATAAACCAGTTATAGCACACTGAGCCAACTTGCTCCTCTGTTCCATTTTCTTCCTTGTGTTTTTATATAACACTGTTCAGTCCTTGCCAGATTTTTCTCTCTCTCTACTAAATATAACTTTGTTTCAAACACTTTTGTTGGGCAAATTACATTAGGCTGGATGGTGCAGGTATCCATTAGAGTTTATTTATCGTGATACTGTTTAGATCTCACACTTATAAATAACTTATGCTATGGGGCTTTTGTTTGTAGAAATGTAACTTACATATTTTATTACGCTTTTCTGTAAACCTCAAAAAGAATGTTGTCAAAGAAGCGCTCTTAACAGCAATCTAAACTAAGGTACATAAAATCTACACCACCATTATTTTTTAATACGGCAAGGAGGCATGGTATTTCTCGATAGTTTGAAAGGTTTGCTGTCACTATAAACACACACTACAATAAAACATTAAAAAGTCGGAAGAATTATTTTACGAAGCACATAGGCACCCACAGCCAAGTTCCTCTGAAGCATTCTTATGCAAGCACAAAACCTTGCATAACAGGGAACATTTTTCCAAGATGGCTAGCTTTGCTTCTTGCCTTCTCTATCCCTGTCTTGCCTTCTCTATCCTTGTCTTTTAAAGCAAGTTGTAACCCTTTTCAGCATTTGATACTTAAAAAAGATACTTTTAAGTATAGATACTTTAAAAAATTCTGTGTACAAGTCTAGTCAATGCTTGGTTTTACTTCATGCCTATGTTTAGTAGGGCAATTCAGGTGTATTCTCAAACTGGAAATCCCAATTTGTTAAATTTATAGCTGCAATTTATGTACCCAGATACTCAATTCAGAAGGAATAACTGTGGCCTAGTTCTTTGCTTTTAGAATAATTCCCCATCCCAATTATTTTACCTCCATAATGTTTATGCCTGGCCCACAGCTATGGAGAAAATAGGGCATAGGAAAAGAGCCATGTAAAAGTAGGACATTAAAACACTTGTGTGAGGGGCTCTACTGCACAGATAAAACATTAACAGGAATTAATTCTGGACACTTCTAATTTGGCAGTGTTCCTTGGAAAAACAGATAGATTTAATGGCAGCAGATAAAATTGTAAAATTCAGACCACATACTATGGCACCCATTTCCTATCAAGATGTTTGCATGCTTATATGTTCATTTGTTCTAATATGTTTCAGCCCTTAACTGAAGTTGAGATGCTATTCAAAATATGGATTACAAATTTATATAGGATCTTATTTTTTTGGAAGTAGCATGTTAGAAGTGAATCTTAGCAGTGGATTTCAGTGCTCCAGGGAACCTGTAGTCTTATATGAGGAAGCAGCATTAAATCCAGAGTGCTGAGTTACAAGGCGATACTTTTCAACTTCTGCTTTCAAGAGAGATGCTAGCTTAAACCAACAAAAATGACTGATTTGTGCACACAGGGAGACTGCAGGCCAGCAGTATATCTTCCCATGTCATGCTAAGGATCAATTAGTCTTCATCCCAATTTTTCAACATAAATGTACAGATTTTCAGGGTAAAGGCAATGGCTTTGCATAGGATCCAGAGTTCTTTACAAGGAGAGAAAAAAGAAAAAGCACTTGTGACTTGAGTAGCTCACGCTTTGAAATAACTTGACAGAATGCAGTTTGTCATTTATTTGTTCACTGCCTGTCCCCGCCCCAGATCGAAACAATTTAGAGTTAACAAGACTCCTTCCAGTGCATCTTTCTACAGCAATAACAAACACCAGCTTTTAACTAAATGCGATCTGGGTACCTGTGTGCAGCTGCCTTAATGCACGTCAGAGCCCTGGTCTGTCTAGCCCAGAATCACATACCGAGACTGGCAGCAGCTCCCTGAAGGCTCATCTGTGGGTATTTCTCAGCCCTACTATCCAAGTGAACAGCAGACTGAGACTAAATGGTTGTGGGTTCAAAATTTTGAAATGTGCATTATTGTCCAATCATATGAGATGTGGCTTGGAACAGTGACTTCAGGGGATTAGAAAAATGCAAAATAATGTAACATAAGATAACATAGGGGCAGACTAACCAACTGACCAAGTGCTGGTATTGAGGTTTATTTTATTATGTTGTGCTGCTCATACAGGAACTCAGCCCTGTGTGCTGGACTAAAATGGGTGGCGTGAGCACCTCCGTGCTCAGAATTCCTTGGACCATCAGAGTGGTTCCTTGTTGCGCTGCCCCTGACCAAGTGAGCCTCTTGTAGAGAAGTCACAGACGAGCAGGGAAGGTTCCTTGAGTCTCTTATGCATGTCATACTTGGAGCCACCTAAAATGCACCTGCCCTTCAGGTGCTACAATCACCAGGCAAGTGCAGCCAACTCCAGCTCCCTGATAAACAGACCTATTCACTACAGGTGCTTCTTGTGATCGTATATTGGGATGCTGCCACCTGCTTCTTTCCCATCCACACCCTCACACTTGACCAGGGCTTGTGTGAGGTCTTTTGTCAGCATAAACTACCACAACCCCCAAAGAGACGGCAGTTACGTTGTGCACAGGAGTGTGCAATAGGCCACCCACCCTGAATCTATCTGCTTTTCAAAAACCATCGCCAAAGTTAGTGTACATACTTTTAACCTCAACTGCTGAAGCAACCCCTGGTGCTTAACCCATGGGGCGGCGGGAGAACAGTCTTAATTTTGTTTGTGGGGGTGTGTGTCGCAAGCCTTTGAAGTGTCTGCTGGTGGCAGAGATTCTAGGCTACTCCTGAGACCTGTCAAAGGCCAACTTCCACACAGTCACTGATGAGCTGAAAGGATCCAGTGCACCTACTGAAAATCAAGGGTATTTTTTGGAATATGTGAACACGGGCACTCATGGCTTGCAGAATACCTCTTATTAAACCACATATTAGTATAATCATAGGGTAATTTTAGCTTTGAAATGCAACTTAGACCTATTTTGTTACCATGTGGTTAAGTGAAAGCCAAATAAAATAGCTTCTGCATTGGATTGTTTGTGTCTTATTTAGCCCTAGTAACATCCATAATAGGAAATAAGAAGAGGACATTATGTGACACCATGTTCCTAAGAAATATTACTGTAATGTTACTTACCTAGGAGAAAAGAAAAACCACATATTCAAATAATGTGTTAAAGATTTTTTTTACAATAAACAGCAGCATGAATTGCAGGAAGCTGAATCAAAATCTCAAAGAAAAACATACAAAAGCAGGTAAATGCTGATTGCACAAAACAGGATGAAGGCAAGCACCTCAATATTCTTTCACCTTCCCAAATATTTATTCTAAAAATAAAAGTACTTCCAAGTAAATCCCATTGTTTTCAACAGAATAGCATTTGAAACTAATAGACAAAGAGTCCTTGCTTTTGGATTTCACATTACACTTTGCTAGCACTTAAGATATGCTCTCCTCTACAATAGTAAAATACCAGCTTTTGATATTAGATTCATGTCATGCACTATTTACACACTACATGCTTAAGATAGAAAGCTCTGTATTTGCTGGCTTCTTACAGTGGCACTCAACTTAATTCTTGTTCCAAGAATGCTATAGTAGTTAACAAATACAGATTGTGGCACTGGTATTTTGCTGCGAATGAAACATTCAAAGCGCATCAGTGTGAAACAAATAATTATTCACATTCTTCCAAAGGATGTATAACTACCTGTACGCTTCTTAAAGGATCACATTCTGCATTCTCACCTATATTTAACCAGAAGAATTAGTTTTCATTCTGTAAGTATTTTTCTCATCAAAAGGATTTAGATGGAAATCCTTAAAAAATATAGATGTATCTATAGCTGCACTGTTTAATATTATGTGCTCTGTTCATTCAAAGGTTCTGGGGAAAGATGAGATGAAAAAGTCAAAAGACAATCACTAACTTTTTAGAAATTTTCTGAGAAAATGTTTATTGGTCCAATTGAAACCCAGTCGCAAATGCAATCTCGGGGAAAATAGATATTTTATTCTTTGGTAAGTTTCATTTCTGTATCATTTTACTGGGAAAAAAAGAAATACCAGTCCAGGAATTCAAAATGGTTCTTCGGGCCAAGTCTGATTTCACATTGCTTCCAATGTTACAAATCCTTACATTTATGCCAGAGGTATAAAAAGGCAGAAATCATTTAAAAAAATATTTTCTATGAAAGTCAAAATTTACCTAACAACATAGCATGGGGCCCCAACCTTCCAAGTGTGTTCATTATTATTGAAACACAATCCAAGTTCAGCATCAACTCATCATTTCTGAACTGCTTGATTCTGACACCCCCTCGCAGCGCAGTGTTTCAGTCATGTCTCTCCGGAAGACAGACATATTCTGTGTGAACCTGTAACCAAGAAAACCCCAAACAAGTGTCCTTTGATTAAGGCATTTAGAAGAAATATAACAAATAAATTGTAGCATAACCTTACATCTAATTCCACATGAGTTAGAATGCTGAAAAAAGCCGTCTTCTTGTTAGCGTTGAGCTGACAGAAATAAATTCTTGCACATTCAGTATTTAATCAAAATTTCACTCCATGTAGTGCTAATTTTCCACAGGGTCCCAAATACTTTTTTAAAAGTTTGTCTACATGGTCATCACATTTCAGTTATTGAATCTGTAATGGGGGGGGGGTTTGGTTTTTTTTTGCACTGCGTAGGGTTTTTTTTTTTTACTTTTTTTGGAGTGTGAAGAGAAATTGGGATATTTTATTACATTTCTATACCACACAAGATCTGAAGCTCTCTGGTGGTTCACAAGAGATGTTCCCCAAGCATGAATAAGGCATAGCCAAAAACTGAATTATCTGGCTAATTAATGCAGGAATAACTATTTTCTGTTTTGTTTCTCAGACCACTTCTGCTTTAACACATTATGCCAGAGCTTTAGGAGTTTAAAGTTTAAGAGATTTCACTATCTATGCTGTTGCCTTCAAAGATACAGGTTTTGCAGGCATTTGAAACAACACAAAAACCTTCAGAGACTGCTGACCAGAGGCAAGATTGAGAAGACTGCACACATACACCGTGAAAAGTGATCCTCCTCTAAACTAGCATTAACTCTCTGCAGACTGTAGTTTTAGCCATAATTATAGCTTGAGTTTGAATTTCTACCAGAATATATTAAATTGTTTTAAAATTAGAAGTAGCCTTCCAAATCCCTCCCTCTGATCTTCCCAATGGGGATACCATTTTCCATAGAGTTAATGCATCTACTGCACTAGCTGGAACTCTTCCATTATTCTTTGAGCCCAGCAGAACCCCCATCTACAAACAATTCCATATTTGCAATCCCATATCAAAGTAGTTTAAATGTCTGACAAGCTTAAACATTTCAAATGAGGATGCAGGATGGATGGAAGAGTTTAGTGGCTGACCAGAAGTAGAAAGGGGATAAAATCCCACCATTTTTGTTTGGCCTCCAAAATGTCCACATTTCCAGGCTTTCTATCATGCAAGTGCACATTGCAAAAATAATAAAGGGCCACAAGTCTGGTTTTCTCCATGTTCAGACTTACCCAGTCAAACTAGATTTTTGTTTGTCTGTTTCTGGCATAGACACAGAATATCCCTGCCTCAGTGTCAGTTGACAATTTGGCTGTAATGGCTTGTGGTGAGAATCTGTGTGATGTTAGAGATGGGGAAAGTCCAAGTTCAAATCCCCTTCAGAAGCCTGGTGGTTCAAGGGGTAACACCAGCCAGTCACTATTGCTTAAACTACAGGGAAGGTATGATGGGGGATACAAATCTAGTAAAAATGGCTAGAACCAAACTTGATCACATTTATTTTAAAAAGCCAGGTTAGTGGTGCCTGTTAAATTGTTGCATGTCACAGCTATTAAACAGTAACATGATGAAGCTGATCACCACTTTTGGCCATGCTAGTATGTTAGTGAATTACAGAGAAGAGAACAGTGTCTTGTGTCTCCTCAAAGATCTATTCTGGCATAAGCTTCCACAGACAACTGTCCTCTTCATCAGGTGCATAAGGTGCTACTGGGAATTTCAATCCTGTTCCAGCTGTTTGTGCTCGCATGGAGATACAGTATATCACAGGAGTACACCCCTCACATTTTGTAAATATTTTATTATATCTTTTCATGTGACAACACTGAAGAAATGACACTTCGCTACAATGTAAAGTAGTGAGTATACAGCTTGTATAACAGTGTAAATTTGCTGTCCCCTCAAAATAACTCAACACAGAGCCATTAATGTCTAAACCGCTGGCAACAAAAATGAGTACACCCCTAAGTGAAACTGTCCAAATTGGGCCCAAAGTGTCAATATTTTGTGTGGCCACCATTATTTTCCAGCATTGCTTTAACCCTCTTGGGCATGGAGTTCACCACAGCTTCACAGGTTGCCACTGGAGTCCTCTTCCACTCCTCCATGACGACATCACAGAGCTGGTGGATGTTAGAGACCTTGTGCTCCTCCACCTTCCATTTCAGGATGCCCCACAGATGCTCAATAGGGTTTAGGTCTGGAGACATGCTTGGCCAGTCCATCACCTTTACCCTCAGCTTCTTTAGCAAGGCAGTGGTTGTCTTGGAGGTGTGTTTGGGGTCGTTATCATGTCGGAATACTGCCCTGCAGCCCAGTCTCCGAAGGGAGGGGATCATGCTCTGCTTCTGTATGTCACAGTACATGTTGGCATTCAAGGTTTCCTCAATGAACTGTAGCTCCCCAGTGTCAGCGGCACTCATGCAGCCCCAGACCATGACACTCGCACCACCATGCTTGACTGTAGGCAAGACACACTTGTTTTTGTACTCCTCACCTGGTTGTCGCCACACACGCTTGACACCATGAACCAAATAAGTTTATCTTGGTCTCATCAGACCACAGGACATGGTTCCAGTAATCCATGTCCCTAGTCTGCTTGTCTTCAGCAAACTGTTTGCGGGCTTTCTTGTGCATCATTTTTAGAAGAGGCTTCCTTCTGGGACAACAGCCCTGCAGACCAATTTGATGCAGTGTGCGGCGTATGGTCTGAGCACTGACAGGCTGACCCACCACCCCTTCAACCTCTGCAGCAATGCTGGCAGCACTCATATGTCTATTTCCCAAAGCCAGCCTCTGGATATGATACGTGCACTCAACTTCTTTGGTCAACCATGGCGAGGCCTGTTCTGAGTGGAACCTGTCCTGTTAAACCACTGTATGGGCTTGGCCACCGTGCTGCAGCTCAGTTTCAGGGTCTTGGCAATCTCCTTATAGCCTAGGCCATCTTTATGTAGAGCAACAATTCTTTTTTCAGATCCTCAGAGAGTTCTTTGCCATGAGGTACCATGTTGAACTTCCAGTGACCAGTATGAGAGAGTGAGAGCGATAACACCAAATTTAACACACCTGCTCCCCATTCACACCTGAGACCTTGTAACACTAATGAGTCACATCACACCGAGGGGGGGGGAATGACTAATAATGCCCAATTTGGACAGTTTCACTTAGGGGTGTACTCACTTTTGTTGCCAGCGGTTTAGACATTAACGGCTGTGTGTTGAGTTATTTTGAGGGGACAGCAAATTTACACTGTTATACAAGCTGTATACTCACTACTTTACATTGTAGCAAAGTGTCATTTCTTCAGTGTTGTCACATGAAAAGATATAATATTTACAAAATGTGAGGGGTGTACTCACTTCTGTGATATACTGTAAGTACCCCAAGTGTGAAATGACCCTTCTGCCCCCCAACCCCTTTGAATGACTTAACTGTGTGAAAAGAAGACTCCACACAGAAAGGTCTCAAGCAGCCACCACAGGGCCACTACGAGACGCCAGCAGCTTCTACTTGACTCAACATGTATCTCTCAAGAGCAGTCTTGCAATGCTTAATGGACGGCACCCAACAATCTCCTGCTTCCCAGATAATAATCTTTCCACTTTCTTCTAGGAATTGGAATTGATAAGACAAGCAAATCTACTCTCAAAAGAATAGGATGCAGGAGATGAATAGGAAGAGCAGCCTTGATGGTCCAAGGCTCCCACAGCAAAGGCACATGGGCAGCCAGACAGAGAGAAGTGCCTGATTCTCTCTCACTTCTGAGAATCGGAGCCACTTCAGGAGCAGCACGGGAAGTGGCCAGCTCTAGTGTGGTCAGCGTTTTCATCTCCCAAACAAACAAAAGTGGAGTGAGAAGTAACCACATGAAAGCAGCAAACCATGCTAGTTCTGTAATTAAGCTCTTGCCCTAAGTGAAGGTTTGGGCAGTTATGGAAGAACATTAAGGAGAACATTATGTGAGGATGACAAAATCATATGTTTCTCATATACGTTCCTCTGAGTTAGAAAGCAGTACACTGGAAACAGCTCAACATCCTTAAAAAGATCTAACACAGAAATAATTAAAAATAATTTCAACTTTTATTTCAGTGAACCAAGTGCCAAGTAATGCTGAAACTCTAAGCATACTTACCTGGGAATAAGTTTTACTGAAAACAGTGGGTGGGACCCAATATTGCACAAGCAGACTTCTGATCATCTGGCAAGAGTTTCTCCTCTTTTCTCCACTGCAGCCCTCACACTTGGCCAAATTATGTTCTGCAGGGTGGCACATTCGGATGGAAATACATCCTAGAATGTGATCCCAGTGCTATGCTGATGGCAATCCTAATCCAACAACACTGAGAAGTTGCCCAACTTTTCCAGTGTATATCTGAGCAAAAATACTGGATCCTAGTTGTGCATTCACTGTATTCAGCATGCTGGTCTAGAAAGCTCTCTGCGTAAGGTTATTTTACGGAGTCTTCTGTCATTATAACTTTAGCTGTCTGTTGAGGACATGGTGGACATACCTGTCTCTATTCTTTATCAGAAGGTTTTGCTCTACTCCTTCCATTAGGTTCCTAAAGCACTGATGAAGCACTTCTTGTTTATCGGCAGGCTGACTGTTTATCAAACTCGCTCTTAATTCACTGAAGTACTGGAAAAACAAAGAATACATTATTAGAATAAACAGTGGGAAACAAGTATTTCTCAAACCCTGGGTATAAATGAGCTTAGTTTTAAGAGTATGAATATCTAGTTCTATCTATAGTTCAGATGGATGCCATTTTATCACTGGAAAGGGTTCCCTAAGGTCATTTAGCCCAATCTTCTGCACTGTAGCACTCCCAGATATTTCTAAGATGTCACTCCACAGCATGTGGGAGAGCATATGGGTCCAACATAACCCACAGCCAAGACGGCAAGGTGGAATATGATGAACAGAATGCAGACACCACACTCCAGAACAATCTAGTTGTGTATAAGTATCACTGAAAGCAAAGCAACAAGGTAGGCATGACAAACTTAAAGTTCTATTAATTTCTCTAGGGCTTCAACACGATTTTCTCTGAATTGAGGCCAGATACCTCAGCTACCCTGGAAGCAGGCAGGGTATCAGAAACAGATGTGGTGACTATAGGATTGTAGGCAGGCCCTTTGTCAAGGGCTTTGTGGGCTAGCTCAAATCCCTGCTGGCCATGCTGCCAATTGGTGTGCATGAGAAGGGGTTGTACACACTCAAGAGCCTTCTCTTTGTGCAAGGGGGAGCCTCCCTGGGACTTTCCTCTCACACACCAATATGTAGGCTGTAGGGCCTGTTGCCATTGGGAAGACCAGCAGGTCTACCCAGTATGGCACTGAAGCCCCCCTTACACATCATTTGAATGTGTGGCTGAAAGTCGTCTGACCTCCCACCCTGGCCTGGCCTTACGGAGACACAGATTGCACACCCAAACAGCAGCCACAATGGATGCATGAGCACAGAAGTCTGATATGGCTTACTCTGGCAACCATGGCTAATGTATGCTAAGCTGTCTGAGCATTGCTGCCAACAGCACTGGGGCAAACTGATCCCACACCCCATCCCCAATCTGTGAGCTTCTTCCTGAATCTTTTTAATAGAAAACAATGTTAGATGAAAGTTCATATTCTCAACTCCCAAAAACTTAATTTTCACTTCATACTTTCTACAACTTAACATAATGTTTCCAGCTGCACATAAGAAGTAACACTGGAAGAAATCCACCAATCTATTCTTTCCTGCAATTATTCTGTGAAGAAAAGTTCCATGGAAGTCAAATGTTCATAGGTTCTGAACCAAAACTGAACGCAGCCCCAAGACTACAAATTGGGGTGTGCTAGTACTGATAACTTGAAATTTCTGTGCCTGATTCAGAAGCAGCTCTTGTGATTGCAGAAGAGGGGCTCAACTGCAACAGCACACACTTTTCTTTGGGAAAGCTGCCCGCAATGCCTGGAGAGCCCTGGCTGTGTGGTCTGGCCCACTCATTATGTCCTCCATGAGAATGCATCCACAGGGATAATCAGAATGCACTGTGTGGAGAAGACTGAGTGCCTGCTTCCTTGCGTAAGCCAACGCAATGATTTCTGAAATGGGTTCACTAGAAACTTAACCGGTGCTTCTTGATGAAAAGATCAATAATGGAGGATAAGGTTTCCTGAAAGATATTTGCTGCCCCATTACTAGTCTTCCTCTGCGATGCACATTCTGTAGGAAGTGCTTGACACACTTGGCATTCTTGTGTATTTGTGCAGGTCATTGCAAGTGTGTGTCCTGGTGGTGGGCAGATATCAGGCTTGCAGGATCTTTTTTCTAAAATTACAGTTCCAGGTTCCATCAGCTAGAGTTTTGTGCAAAACATGCATCTAGAATTAAAGAAACCTGCTTCTAGAGTTGAATGGGGAGCAGGTGTTCTAGAGAAATCTACACTGTTGAATATCCAAAGCTTCATTCTTTTCAACAAAGAAATTTTGGTTTACGGAGGTGGGTGAACCAGGGTTGTCTCAGTCACCAAGCTGTTATGAGGAAACAGTCCACAGCACCCCAACAGACCTTCACAATTAGAGGGGTGGGGAAGGTAGGAAAAAGTCCCTGCTCAACTCAGCAGGAAGACATTTACCAGGAAGCCCCTGCCCTGTCCTGCTGGAGAGCAGAAGTTGCTGTTTTCGGCATTGTCCCACATGATAAACAGGCACACAGATGGAGTTCTCCGCATGTCAAAGATCTCTTGCAAAGTTGTTCAGTTACTCATGAATAGAGAGTCTTCCTGCTTGGTGGGTCCACCAGTGAAATGAACGACAATCAACATTAATGCTCTTGTCAATGCACCAGTCCTGGATCTGGATGGCTAGGCATATCAGCGGGACTGACTGTGTATTCCCCTGCTTGTATATTGACACTGTCCACGGTGATCTGGCCATGATGGCCAGTGAGAAATGTCTGGAATGTGATGAGAGCTTTCCTCACCACAAGCATTTCCAAGTAGTTGGTACACCTGTGGTCTTAGAAATCATTCCAGGTTCCTTGGGTCATCTGTGTACCACAGTGAGCTTGCCATCCGTACAGGGAGGTGTCAGTTGTAACCATGGAGAAGAAAGGAATTCCTCTCAACAAGCTTCTGTGGCACATTCACCAGCCAAGTCTGGAACAGGTCAATTTGGGGGACCAAAGGGCCAGCTGCTGCAGGTCAACCATAGGATGGTAGGTACGGACAAGCCAGAGCTGCAGTAGTTACACCCAAAGTCTGGCTAATGGCATAGCCACAGCTGCAGTCACTGCATCTGGAGAACCTTTACTACATGTCGCTGGTGAAGCTTGAAGACATCTTGACAACTGCTGTAGCTTTTACCTCTGGGAGATATGCTGCTGCTGAGATGGAGTCTAGCCATGCCCCAATATACAGGATAGACTGGGAAGGGGAAAGATCTTTTGCGTTTAGGAATGGAGGAATTCCCTGGAGGAGCGCTATACTGAAATATGAAAATATGCATCTTTTAGGTCTAATAAGTGCAAACCAGACTCCTCTCTGAAGTAGAGGCAAGATGCTCTTTAGGGTAACCACACTGAACTTCTTCAATAGGATAAAGAAGTTAAGTCTGTTGGGCCCAGGACTGGACAAAGCTCTCCCATCCTGCTCTTATAGTGTGAAGTGTTTGGAGAAGAATCCTCAGAGATGACAGATGAATTGCTATTGACAGGTTCAATTGCTCCTTTAGAGAGTAAGGATTGTGCCTCCCCAAGCAGGGCTGGAGACTGGGCCATACTTCTTATGGCTCCAAGAGGAGAGAAGTATCAAATTTGATCCAGTAACCTTAGTTGTCCTTCAGGTTCTGGGATCTCTCTGAAGTTGATGGCAACAACTGGTCTGAGGTGTAGGCACTTGCTGCAGGAGGTATGCCTTGAGGCAAGGAGCCAGCAGCTCCAGATGCTGGCGAGTGGATACGCTCTGGCAGCTTAAGGATGTTGACTGCTCAGAGAACCTCCTATGCAGAGATAGGAGTTTCCTGGCCTTTTACTGAAGGGCATACAGTGCAGACACTGGTTGACCTGATACTCCTCACCAAGATAGAGCAGACAGAGTGTCCGTCCATTGGCAGGAGCTTGCTACTGCATTTCACACATTTGTGAAATGCTGCCTTTGATGCCATTGGTAAGTCAAAGGAGAAAAAAAGAAAAGCAGTGTGTGAGAGAAAAAACATCGGGGGTTGGAATAATCAAAGAAGACAAAGAACATTTCCTTATTTTGCTATAGTTTTTTTGTAGGGAGGGAGGGTAAGGAAAGATGGGTGACTGCCAAAAATAAGAGAAAGACTGAGATGTAGGTATTTAGAAATGTGTTTTGCAAGAGAGAAGGGGTAGAGAAAATGCTCACAGCTCATGAACAAATACAAAGAGGAGCTTCTTGACGCACCAGGGAAGGCAGCTGAAGATGAACTGAGGGAATGGGTGGGAAATCCTCTGATACATAACAGATGTTGGGGTATGGGAGGGGATCCTGCCAAAAGGCTCACAGCTGCAAAATCTTCCTGACAACTGGCTCCATGCAAGTGCAGAGCTCATGTGTATGATGCACAGGGACTACAGGACCACAAGGATTTCCCAATTGCAGAAGCAAAATGAGTGCTATGCATCTTAAATCTCTAGCTTGATCCATCCTACCCACCAACTGAAGAAGAGGAGAATGGGGCTATATGGCACCTGAACATTACTGCATCCTAAACACAGATCTGATATTTCAGAGGAGAGAGAAGTATGAATAACAATTGCTAAGGCATAACTTGTACTGTAAATATATTATTTTGCTATTTTATAATAGACCCCTAACACAAATACTGAGTAACAGATTTATATGCGTACAACTGCTTCACAGGGGAGGAGTAACCTCTTCAATACAAGGCCTCAAGTCAGGCCAAGCCCACAAGTTGAGAGGGGATGAGCTACAGCATCTGTATGAGAGCATTGCCTGTTTTGCCTCACTCTGCTGGTGCCAAGTGTTTGATGGCTATTTTACACCATGTTTAAGGTTTATTGTGGGCTGCAGAAGAAAAGGCAAATCTGGTTGAAAAACTGAAAAATTATACAATGTAAGATCCAATGTGCTTCATCATTTTCAGTGGCTGAAATTAGACAACCTCCAGGCCTTTCTGTCCTCCACCATCCCCTGGAAACCACTCAAGCTCACACCAACTGCTTCAGTGACTCCATCTAACCACCTCATTCACTGCCGCCCCCTTCTTCTTTTGCCATCTATTGTTCCCAGCATTAGGCTCTTCTCCAGGGAGTCCTTCCTTCTCATTAGGTGGCCAAAGTATTTGAGTTTCATCTTCAGGATCTGGCCTTCTAAAGAGCAGTCAGGGTTGATCTCCTCTAGGACTGACCAGTTTGATCACCTTGCTGTCCAAGAGACTCGCAGGAGTCTCCACCAGCACCACAATTCAAAGGCCTTAATTCTTTGGCGCTCAGCCTTCCTTATGGTCCAGCAATGGTGCGGTAGTATGAACATTCTTTGGCATTGCCCTTCTTTGGGATGGGAATGTAAATTGACCTTTTCCAAACCTGTGGCCACTGTTGAGTTTTCCAAATTTGCTGGCATATTGAGTGTTGCACTTTTACCGCATCGTCTTTTAAGATTTTGA